GGGTTTAGGGTTTAGGGTCCCTAAACCCTGAACCCTGAACCCTGAACCCTAAACCCTATACCATAAACCCTAAGCCCTAAACCTAAACCCTGAACCCTAAACCCTGAACCCTAAACCCTATAGTTTTCAGCCCAAGGTTCTCATCGTGACCCTTCGTAGCTGGTCAAGCTTCCAGATATTTTTAGGTGTGCGGGGTTCCGCCTCTATCTTCCTCTCTTGGAGGGTCGGGGGACTTAGTAAGTAGTTGTTTTAGAGACTTATAAGTACCATGACCCCAATTAGGATCCCTTTTAGGGTACTTATAACTCTACTGATTACCTACTTACTAAGTCCCCCGACCCTCCAAGCAAGCGCCAAATGACCCTTAAAAGCAGGGGCCCTATAGAATTATACTATGGATCCCTACACGGTGTATGATTCCTAAACCCTTTTGGGGTTTTTCTCGTCCTGAAGGAGGGGTCTCCGATCATGCAGTGTAGCACCCATGGAGTGACAGAACACCTGGCAAGTCAAGCTCCGCATGCCCAAGAGTTTAGGGTTTAGGGTTTAGGGTTTAGGACGAACTTTGAGAACTTCCTTACCCATGGTAGCTAAGTAGCAGAGAGTCTGATCCAGACCGCAATGACTGGTAGGAATTTCCAACACAGGCCTTACTTTCCGCATTGAAGATAGCCCCAAACTTGTGTTTCATTGATTGTTGAGGCCTACATGTATGGTCCGTATCGGTATCTCCCATGTACCCATCATGTACCCCCTAATAGAACCCTAAAAACCCTAAGCCCATGTACCCGCAAAAGAGCCCCTCTCAAATCCGCGTGACCGGCTACACTCTGAAACCCTCAGCTCCCCGACTCTGAATCGAAAACCGCTTTGGAGCATACATCCAACGGGTTTAGGGTTTCGGGAAAAACCCTAAACCCTAAACCCTACATCTAAAGCCCTGAAAAGGGTTTAGGGTTTATGGAAACTCTTTGGACCGAGAGCCCATGGCCCTGAACCCTCCTAAAAACATCGTGAACCGCGCCTTTGGACACTTCAGTCCCTTCCCAGAGAGCCCAATTCCCTTCAAAAAAAGTAGACCTTAAGCTAGTTAGGGTTCCCTGAAGGGCTCCTTTCAGGGGTTTATTATAGGGTTTGTATAAGGTTTAAGAATCCTTAACAAGGAATAGACCTTCAATTACATGGGGCTTCATACTATGATTTAAGCTCTATTCCTTAATTAAGGGGTATTGGGCTCTCGCCTGAACCCTAAACCCTAAACCCTAAACCCTTTCTAGAACCCTTTCTGGAACCCTTTATATAAAACCTTTTATAAAACCTTTTATAGAACCCTTTAAGGAAGTTGAGGTTTTATAGAACCCTTTAAGGAAGGCGAGGTTTTATAGAACCCTTTAAGAAAGGCGAATGTTAAGGGGTATTGGGCTCTCTAAACC